TCAGACAGACCGAGACAGACCGAGACAGACAGACCGAGACAGACCGACCGAGACACACCGAGACAGACTACACAGACAGACAGACAGCCGGCCGGCCGACAGACAGAAAGACAGACAAAGGTGCGTTCGTCCGTGTGTCCTGCTCGACCGAGACAGACTGACAGACCGAGACAGACGCACCGGGACAGAACGCTCTGTGAAAAGGCTGGTGAGTAGATAGGGCCATTGCGAAACGCTTCTTCAAGCTTGAGCCCGGTTAACATTTCCTCCCGGCTCCGAGAGCACAAGTTGCTAGTTCCCGGCTCCGCGAGCGCAGGTTGCTGCCGAGCCGGTACCTAGTAGGGTGCTAATGACACACTTTTCCCATGTATGTCTGGATGTATGTTTGCAGGTATGTATGTCTGTTTTCATGGATGGATATCTATGTCTGTATGTGTGTGTGTGTGTCTGTTTTCCCTTTACTCAGTACTCTGTGCGGGCGGCTTCGACCGCGAAGCGGTGTGAATAGTTGTTGTTAAGGCATGCCTTTGTAAAAAAGTAAAATAAAATAAAACTTGACGCGGCTTTGCTATTCTCCGTGTCCTGTATTGTTTGTGCTTGCCCACAGCCATTCACAATAGATTGTGCTTTCCCAGCAACAAAACAATGAACCTGCTTGCAAAATGCATTTGTGCTGCATGTATAGTTGCTTGCATTTCAGCTAGTTTCAAGTGAGCTCCCAATACCATTTTGATTGTCTTGAGCCTACGGTTTCCTATGGTTTCATATCTTTGCCTCTCAACTCCAAACTATTCTCTGTTGCGTATGCCTGCTCTGTTTTTGCATGCACATTGCTTTTTACCGGCAGTGCACTTCCACATCTCCGAAAATCCCAAGTTTCTCACCACGCTGCCCATCTCTGAAAGCTGTTGTCCAAATGCTTTTCGAGAGCTTGCGCGACCTGAAAGCTTCACTCAGGTACTCTAAAGCTGGCCAAAGGCGCTTGATCCCCAAAATAGGGGAATAAGGCAAGCCATGCATGCCATGTATGGTTTTTTGGTGTGATTTCTTATGATTTCATCCTAGACTAGCAAAGATTGAAGAATCGACGGCGGTTCTCTGGTCACCTGCATGGTTGGTGGTTCGCTTGGTCTGTATTTGTCGAGGCCAAACGAATTCCACATTTTGTCTCAACATGTTCTGTCACATGACGGCTGGCTTTGTGCAGACCTCACTGACTCCTGAGGTATCATTAGTATGTCGTACCAGAGAAAGAAAAAAAGCCTGGACATTGACAGAAATATCAAACACAATCAAACCATAGTGAGTCTGAGTGTTCGATAGTTCTGTATACATATTTTTTGGTTGCACCATATTTCAGCAAGTGGGGGCTGGGAGGTGACACCCAGAAAAAAAATGCCGTGCACATCTGTTGACCAAATTTCATGCTCCTCTGAGGCTTCAACGGCACATGTGGCTCAAGGCGCGCTCTGCCTGGCGCAAAAGTGCAGGTGATGATTCTGATCTAAAATATTGGGCAGATTGGGCGGTGATGGATCTAAAAGCGCCTACATCCAAGCACAGAAGCAAAATATTCAAATTCCAAAATGACAACGAGCACTACAGCTGAAACAAAAAGGAAGAAAGGGATCCCTTGGAAGGTCCTAACAAAGACAGTTGCATTGAAAGTGCCTGCCCAATCATGCGCATACAATGGTGAATGCCTTAGGATGGCTGGGAAAAAGTAGCATTTCAAGCAGCATAAATATTTTATCATATTTTATCTTATAATGAATCTTGCAACGTCTCCTTGACTTGACAACAATTAGGGCATGCAGAATTGCAACTACCAGAGTTGAGCGATGGTGAGACTTCTCAGACCTCTTATATAGACTTTATCATATATTTGAACCAAATCATTAGTGCGAGTGCTTCTTCAAGGAAGCTCCCCCCACCCTCAAGCGGAGGCACCGGGGAGCTTCCTTGAAGAAAGGTGAGCTTGGAACACCTGAATGAGACTTCACCTCGAAGCAAAAACGCGCTCGCCACGGCGGGATGAGCGTCCCGACGGCCCGGGCCCAATCGCAGCTGGGCGATTTCAAAGCCGCGGCCCTGCGGCTTTAGCGCGCGGGCCAAGAAATGGCACGAGGTACGGTGATTCACTGGTAGAGAGAGGATGATAGAGGAAGGATAGAAAGTCAACCTCCGTAAATACCGTAAAATGCATCGTTTCTAATTATTTGTTTTGAGCGTTAGTGGGACTTGGGTAATGCTGTTGCACCGGAATGGGTGGAAATCCTTCAGAGCCTAGGCATGCCTAATTAAGCATGCCTACGCATCAAGAGAATTCGCAAGAGAATCCGCGCAGCGAGCTTGCCAGCTTTGACAGAACACCCAGTAGCACAGCGAAGAAAAAATATCGCGCGGCACGGTCGAGGACCTCAAATACGCAGTTTGTGATACACTGTGATTCCTTGAAGTAAAGCAAATGCACAAGAAGCGCTACGTCTGGTTCAAATAAGCTGCTTGCTGTCATTCGCAGCCCCCTCCATGCCTCTCCCCAAATCATGTTGCTCAGGGGCACACGAACATCCTGGTACATGTAAATCACTATAGGTTCAGGAAGTCTGAGGCTCAAAGTTCTTGGAACAAACTCTCAAACTTGAAGAACTAAGTAGTATCAGAAGGGTTGAAAGCTTCCAAACTGCCACATCTTCTAGGAGTACTGGTGACCATTCTCTGATCTCATTATGCCTCAGACTGCTCTCAGACTGCAAAAAAGGTGAGAGCGAGTTCGTGAAACCGTGCTCTTTACCAGGTGAGAACTGATCTGACCTCGAAGAGAATCTCCATGTGGCCCTTGGGACAATCATCGTCCCCAAAAGTCTCCATGGGCCGCACCAAGGTGATCCCAGGCGTGTCCTGGACAGCGACACGGAACCGCAGCGTCGTGTCCTCTCGCGTCGTGTCGGTTGGAGTCTTTGGGAGGTCTCAAAGCAGACTTCTGAATTCTGATACATTTGGATCATGATGCGGATCTGATGGCCGTTTTGATTGCTTGCACGATTCGCGCGTCTGGTCGGACGCACGATCTGCAGGAATGGGATATATCATGCATTGATTCGCAGGTTGCCCACTCCACTGATATTCTGCCAACTTACATTTTTAGTGGGGATATACTTTTCTATCTACCGTAGTTGGGGGTCTATATACCAAATTCCAAACCTAGCTAATGGCACGGTAGTCTGAAGTTGTATACGATCAAGTGGTATCGTTGTCGTGGCATGTAGGTTCCTTTCATGCACTGAGGCAAGACGGACTGAACTGGCGTGAACTTGTGGAAGGTGCAGGAACAACCAACACAGGACTCTTCCAAAAAGCGAAGAGACCCGATTTTTGCGGGAGAAAGCTGAGCTCCACACCATGGGCACCAAAATTTGAGATTGGGAACGGTAGGTCGCAGCATCCTTTGGCCCTGTCCTCCCGGACTAAGCATCCACTTCAAGACTCAAACATAGCCAAAATGGAAACAGCATGTTGATGGATGAAGGACAGTAGTTTGATGTAGTTTGCTATTAGCGGAGCCAAAAAAGAGTTGCCGAAAACCTTAAGAGCATCCACCGGGCGTCCTTTGCAGCCAGTCTTACCCCCTTTTTGTAATTCACACAATTCAGCGGCTCCTGCCCATGAGAATCATGATTTTGCAGTCCACATTCCTCAGACGAAGGGCGACAAACGATGGGAACTGCTCGGACGCATACAAGTTCTCTCAAAGAAGTGTGCGCCAAACACTGCTTGGACTCTCAGTGAACACCCTGACATCTGAAAACCGAGCCTCGCAGCGAGGAAATTTGGGCAGGGCCGATCTGCTGGGCACAGCAACTGGGAAACTGGTCGGAATCAGATGAGAAGCATCGGAGTTCTTCCTGAAAACGCCCAGCTCGTCGGACGCGTCGGACGAAAGCGGTCAGCCGGTCAGCTGAAAAAGCCAAGTCTCCCAGCTCCAGTGATCCAATGTTTTCGGCCTGAGACACGGTTCAATGATGTTCAACTGTCTGAGATATGGTTTGTTCGAGCATGTCTCATCGAACGAGTCATAATAATAGATCGTATAGAAAAAACATGGAACAACCATTGGTGTGACACACCTTAACGAAATGACTGAGAAGATACATACGTACTGTACTATCAGGGTGTGAGTAGAACTTGTTCTCAGGAGAACGCCATTGATCACCCAGTGGTCACCATCACGCGTGATCATAGTCCTGAAAACATGCAGTTCGCTCGGAACTCTGGCAGTGCAGAACTCGCCCAAACTCAGACTTGCGAAGTTTACATGTGCTTCAGATGGAAGAAAAGAAAAGAACCCGCCAATGGCTGGAAGATATCCTTCTCTTAACTCTTAGGAAGGACTGACTCATGTGCCAACCGCATCCTTACGAACTGCTTTGAGCTGCAAAGCATAAAGAAATGTCCTTCAGATAGTATTCTTAAGTGAGACGGCAATAATGTCCTTCAGATATGTACTAGGTTACCGCATTCGAATTGCGCGACAATCTCCTGATGTTGGTGGCATCGCTACTTGCGACTGCTGGCTCAGTCATCGCCTAAGAAGTTGAGATCCATCGCTGTAGTGCATGAACGTTGGTGCGAAGCTACTCGCGGAAGCACGCAAAAGCAGGCAGAGCAAAAACGCTCTGTCGACCAGAACCGAACCGAACATAGAAATCTCCACCGGTTGAGCCAGCAGCATAGCAGGAGCGGATTTTGGCATCCAGCAATGGCTCCTTGGTTGGCGCTGTGATTCTGGGTTCGTGAAATCACAAGAGGACCAGATGGAACAGTCGTAATAAATTGAAGGCTTAAACTTAAAGGTGAGTGGAAAAAGCAAAGACATGTGGCAGACCAAAGTAAAAACACAAATGAACGCCAAAACAAGCCTGATGCAATGCTTTGGCAAATGTTTGTGCAATGCCGAGATCCTCGCAAGCCAAAGCTTCTTCTGCTCCTCTGTACCAAATCTGGCTAAGACCTGTTGTCACTTCGGCGATGGCAGAGCCAGGGAACATGGTGCTGGTCTTTCGTTGATATTCGATGATATTCGCGGAGGTCTCATGTCCAGATCCTTTCTATTGCAGTCTCATTTGATAGAAAACACCGGCATGTCAATAGTGCCTCAAGAGAATGCCCAGCCATTATTGTATCAAGATCTACATGGAATCTAGACAAAAATTGACACTCAGAGGCAAAAGAGCTGGCTTTAAGAGTGCCTCCATATTGCCAGTGTCAGGACTGGCACAATTGCAAGCCTGGTCTGACAGTGTTGATTCATGCTCATCTGAATGCTATATGTCACTGTTGTAAGTTACAACAGTCGCTTTAGTGACACACTCAACTCTCCAGCCGTTTCGTTGCACAAATTCCTCATGAGTGGCCATCTGTGGCCTGGCCGTGATGTCCTTTTCAATGTCAAGTTTGTTGAATTCATTTGGGACTAACTAAGCTCCATGATTGAGTCTGACCGATGAAGCATGAAGGCACAACATAATACTTGATCTGTTTCCGCTACCGTTTCCTTCTGTTTATCCCTTACACGTTCGCCTCAGCAGCAAATTCAGCGTGGTTCGAAGTGCCCATGATTTCACAGCCTGAAGCATGTGTGCATGAGACCCCCAACGTCGAGCGTTGTGCTGTACGTCTTCAACATGATGTTTTTTTGTTTTTTCTGGGATGTCCTCATACTTATTCAATTCTTTTGCGTGTGTTGCATGCTATGTCCACATGGCTTCTATATATATATATATTTCCAACAACTTAAAGTCGTCATCTGTCTCTTCTCTCACACCACCACAGGTCGAATGGGTCGAGCACGTCGACAACTCAACTTCACAACGTGCGCATTCCGAGGTTCTCGCAATCCGCATACCTCAGGACATATTGAGGGTGGTAAAGGAAAAACTGGCGAGTGCAAGTAGGCCCAAAAATACAGCCAACCAGGCCACAGAACGCCAAAAAAATCGTACTATGCTGCCCCAAAAAAGGAAACGACACAAACAAAACATAACAACAATACCAAGCCGGCACTCACGAGGCCACGAAACCACCCTCAGGCTTAAGGAGCCATGCTTGTCATATTGTTATTTTGTGTAGGGAAGTACAGCACTTCAGCGGCAATGATAACACTTCGGCTTTTGAGTCCATCTCATGTTCATCTCATACTACAGTACATCAGACCTGTGTCATAGTCATATGAGTCATAGTCATATGTATCTTTCGTAGAAATGTCAATCTTGCAATCTTGCAAGTTACGAAACACCATGTCTGCCATGTCTTGTATCCCATGCCGAGGTGCTGCAGGTTGGTCAGACCACCACCTTTACGGCCAGCGAGTTGAGCAGAATCCACCGGCAAAAACAGGTTCCTCGGCGAAGCGCCCCCGGAGCGCGGCGAAGACCCCAAACCCTTCGCCGCCCGAATCTTCGGCCGAGCCCCGAATCGCATCGTCCGCTCGATGGAGTTGGGAGCACACCCACTACAATTCTAATTAAATTCTTGTTGTTACGAGTAGTAAGGCACGTGTTACTACTAGTAGCTTCTTGTTACTACTAGTAAGGCACTTGGTCCTAGTAGCGATGCACTTGTTTACGGAACCGCGCACAGAGTTTGGAGCACGGAGCCAAAACCAAAGCCCCACACTGAGGGCACGACCAAAGGCCTCTCGCCTGACGAGCAGAAAAGGATCGACCGAAGTTCAAGACATCTAGATACATCTAGTTTATAATCTAGTCAAGATCCTTTGTTGATCCGCTCCTCTTCCAATCCTTCATTCACAAAGACTCAGAGAGGGAGCTGTGGGAGCTGTAAAGAGCTTGTCCTTCATCCGGTATTCTTATCAAACATTTTTGAACATTTAGGTTTGGAACAAAACCCCGAACTTATGCTGTCAGGCCGAAGTGAAGCTGTGAAAGGCAACTGGGGAGGGCCCTCGCCTTCGCCTTCTCTCGAAGCTCAAAAATGATTTGCGGCTGCTTCCAATGGCTTGGCCCTTTAGAACGGATCTCTTTTACCTCCGGTTCAAAACATCCAGCGGCAATGTCTTTACTATTGGCCAACTGCAATTCATTGTTCAATCCACACCCTCTTGCTGGAGTATCCGCTCAATCTTACCACAGCTGTGTTCCCAGGTAGTAACTAGCAGCATCTAGCAGCTAGCACAAGGATCCAGCAACTCTTAGTCACTCCATGAACCTTGCTACAAGGATCCGGCAGGACTCGGCAAACTCTGCGTCAGATTTTTCGCGTTTTGCGCCTCCTTGATGTGCCGCAGCTCATTGGGATAAATCCTCAGCCCACCGGAGAAGCGAAGACGAAGACACCGCCGAACGTAACCGGCCGCTCTGAGATTCGGCGTTTCACTGCACGGAACAGGCCCAGTCGGTCGTTGAAAGTCAAGATCACGAATTTCGTGCCCTGCTGCCAGACTTGTTCCCAGAACAAAAGAAAAGCATCTGTGTGCCGGCCCAGGGTCTCTGTCTTCATGAAGTCCCATAGATTCTCCTTCAAAAGCCATGCGGCATCGAATGGGAAGTAGATTTGACCAATAAATAATAAAGGATGAACACTTGATTGAAATCTTCGTTGTTTGAAGTTGCGAATTTCATTCGTGAAATCCACACACTCTCTCCTTGAGCGCCTCAAACTGACTGGCTTCCATGGTTTCGAAGAGCTAGATTGGCAGCAAGGTGCTCACAAGTTCAATGGTTGGATCTGACAGACATCAAAGCCGTTAAAGCATGCTGATGTCTGACGTCATAAGTCTGTTGCGAAGCAATGAGTGGTAGGATGTGAACACACTGAGACAGGTCTCATGCAAGGTTCTGCCATGTTGGGCGTTCTGCGAAGAGCAAACAGCTGCAAAAGCCGCAAAAAATAACTTCCTCCTGAGTTGCTGCTGGGTTTCAATCGTACCAATCCTACTGGTGTTTCTTGCTCTTCTCTGTGGTAGCCAATCTGAAGGCCAATGGTTTTCCAATCCTTTGCTAACGGGATCAAATCCCTTGTGAAATTCACGGCCATACCAACTCATACAAGTAAAAATGTATTGAAAGATTAATCGATGGCAATGTAGTAAAAAAAGCACCCTATGGCAACTCTGGACTCTCCACAGCTTTTGGATGCTTTTGGTACTTTTTTCGTAACTAAAACCGATGGCACGGGTCACGTGTCAACCCATCGCACCAACTTCGCTGTTTGCGAAGGCTGTGCCAATCATTGACCGAACTTGGATGTCAAAGGATGGCAATTCTGTCAAGTTCCCACGTTCTGAGCAGGTTGATGACGTCATTGGGATCTAGCATGTGTTGGTAAATGTCAATGCCATCCTCTGCATACGTTCTTCACTGCTCCATCTTTGAAATCAGCTCATTGCCTGCAAGAGCCATTCAACTGACTATTCTAGGTCTTGGAGATTCTTGATCACAGGTTGCCACGAACGCCTAAGTTTTAGAAGCCCTTCCTTCGAACATACACTTCAACTTTCCAGACTTATGCAAAGCAAAGTTGAATAGAGAATTTACACTTATATAAGTTTCCTCGCCTCGGATGGCCGGTCCGTCGAGGAGAAGGTCTTTCGCCTGTGTCAAACAAAAGAGCTTCGTGGCAAACGAGAGTTCTCGTCACACTCCCACACAACCTCATTTGGCTAAGCGTCTTCTCACAAAGCCTGAACTGGAAAAACGGCAGCAGCACTGTTCTGCCTTCAGAGATTCAGAATTCAGTACACAACATCTTTAATACATGTTCTGTTAATACTTGTGTTGAAAAGATTGCGCTTGGGCTAAATCCACCTGTTCGCACACATCAGAAGAATCCGGAGTCTGGCAAAAGACCAATGAAACATGAAGAGAAGCGCACTTGAAGAGAAGCCGTCTGGCCCTATGTCCAGAAAGGTCGGAAAGCTCGGCCATTCCCACCCTCCTGAAGTCGCTAAACCCCCGCATATGAAGAGGTTGTTCCATCCAAACGGGTGGGTACATCCGTCATAATCGTCATACAACATGACAAGGGTATGTGTGGTCGCGTACCTCGCCCGCAAGTGCATCCAAACAGGTGGGTTTTGCTACATCAAGAGTCTACATCAGTCTGTGTCCGGCATCACCGGCGAAGAGGTCCATTGACATCAGCGGGCCTCGCAGTCCACGGGGCTGTCGCACTGGGTTCCGCCTGCCAGTGACATTCTGCAGGGAATCTGCCACATCAACTGAAAGGGTTCATCAATTGCTGCACCTACATCGTTATTAGGTTGGAGGCCATTGCTATTAGGTAGGGGGCAAAGTGGCATGTTAAAAGTCCTAAAAAACATCCGCACCCCGGATGATTGTGCGCCTTCACGTATATTCGATGACGTTGACACTTTCTGATTTGTCAGTTGAGAAGCAACCCTTGTCGCTGCTGGAGATATTCCAACAGATTTGGGTACTGGGTAGGACAAATATTGTTTATAATTATACTAGATATATTTAGCCCATAGTGCAGCCAGTCCAGGATCTCAAAGTTGCTCCGGCCAACTCGGCAAGCTTGTTTGCAAGTCTCAGCCCAGGTTAGCATTCAGCTGGGGTTCACGGACAAAGAATGGGATGAGCCTCTCTCTCTCTTCTCTGTGTGCAGATTTCCATAGCAACCAGGTGGATCGCAGTGAGTGATGTGAGTGCCAACAAATATCAGCCAGAAATAGCGTGGGCATCTTGCACCACACCAACGGCCGCACCCGCGGTTCCGCCGGGACAAGAAAAACAAACGGATTCAAATCCCTGCGGCGTGTGCAAGCCAAAAATAAATGTGCTGCCAACATGCGCAGATCTGTGGATTTAAATGATTTTGTGTGTATGCACTGCACTTTAAAAACATCTAAAAACAGTGTCAGGTCAAAAATTTGGCTGGAGTCCTCTAGCTGACGGGGACACAGCGTTCGGTCTACTGCGAACAGCTAACTCCTTTGACATCTATGACAACCTGCAGGGATGCGATGCAGATGCTGTACAAGAAACTAGGGAGAAGAATCTCGGCCCAGTTCCAATCTTATTCCAAAGTCATTGGAGATGTTCTTGCATATTAACAGAATCAATGATCGTGAAAACATCAGGCGATATAGAACAAGCAAAGTGAGCATGTTGGACAACCAATGTGGCCCGTTGGTTTCTTTCTTCTCCATTGCCGGGCTGAAGGCCATGGAGGGACCGCCGCCGGTCAAGAAAGCGTCTCGGTCGTGTCCTGCACTCAAAATAAAGACAGGTGGACACAGCAGTGACAGCTCTCCCAATGAGTAGCTCGCATCTCTTACGAAACCGAATTGGCCCAGTCATCTCGAATGCGTCGAATGCTCATTTGTGATGGTTGACCCTGGTACCATAAAGTTCAACACCATTCCCTCATCAGGAGATCCACAACGCGTTTGCCGAGCCTCGTGTCAATCGCGTTTCTATATAATATGTGAATCCAAAACCAAAGCTTGCTGGAAATGTGTTTCACTGTTCAAAAGAATTCAACGCAACACGCTGAGTTCAAACATTTTTAGCAGCTCCATATGCTTCGTGAGAGCTTAGCAGGCCACCCTGTGCCATGAGCTCCTCCACGAAGGGGCTGGACAGCTTGCAGGAAAATTGCAGTGGCCCATGTCCTGGACATTGCCAAGTGGAATTCACAAAGTTGACATCCAAATATATCTAAGTCTAAGTCATCCAAAATGCCAGAAACATCCAGAATCATCCAGAAACCAAGGCATGACATGTGCATGTGGATCTCAAAGGTCTTTTTTTCAGGGCCCCAAGCGCGGCTTGGCCGCACGTTGCAGCCCCACCAGGTCGAAGTGGGTGCTTCGGGGAAACACATCACCGAAGGCCTTCGCGGTGTGTCGCCGGCGGTGCTCGTGGGCGGAATGCTGGGTGGCCACGGAGTCTTTGACCGTCTTGGCCATGTCCAGGACGGTCACGGCAGTGGAAACACGCTGTCGCAACTCCACTTCCAGCGCAAAGTCCCGCAACTGAACTTCCTGGATCATCTGTTGCGAGCGCTCTTGCAGGTCTCTTGCACGAGTCTTGGCTTCCTGGAGTCCTTGGTTTACTGCGAGGTCGATCTGGTGAATATCGTCATCCACACTTTTCAACACCTGCTGTCGCAAAAGGACCTCCTCTTGAACCCCTCGATGGATTTCAACCTTGGCCTTCTTCAATTCCTCGTGAACAGCTTCCAACTCCTTCATCAACTCCGACTTCATCTCAAGTGCTTTGGCTTCGGTCTCCTCCAACAGCTGCTGCCGCCGCTGCCGCAGGACTTGGCGCCTTTTCTGCAACTCAACATCCTGCTTCTTCAAGGCTTCAAGTTGTTCAACCTCCACCTCTTCAATTTGCTTTGCGAGATCTTTGAGCTTCTTCGCCTCCTCACGCAAACCCTTCTCTGCCGTCAAGCGCTCTAAACGCAAATGCCTGCACTCCTCAGCATAGGCGAGCTCTTGTTCATCCGCGTCCAACATCAAATCCTCCGCCTGATCCTTGACCTGCGCCATGCGCTCCCGCAGGGCCGAGGTCTCGGCCACCTGCGCAGCCTCTGCAGCACTGGCGCTCTGCAAGATGTCTGTCTCACGCTGAGAGGCTTCCTCTTCAATGAGTTTCTGTTGTTCCCTTGAGTCGAGCTCCTGCTTCTTCAAAGCGTCTCGCTCTTCACGCATACGAGCCAACTGCTTCTCCACCACATCCTTCTTGGTGTACCACTCTGGTTGTTCGTCCATGAGGGGTTGGAAGTTCACCCGTGCGGATGGTGTGTGGCGTGAGGTTCCCTCAATAGCAATGGCAAATGTTATCAAATGTTCACTGCATGCATGGGATGCTGCAGTAGGGGTGTTTTAACATCGTGGGCATTAAGTGGCTCCGATGGATTCTGTATATATTACTGTATGTTGATCAAGAGGGGTGTGCCAGCAGATTCCAGTGTCTCTTCACATTTGCTCTTCACTTGGCAGGTATACATGGAAATCTTGATCCATGAGAAACTACGTGGCACAAATCGAAAGTATGATGACTCAGGAAGTCTGCGGTCCAGACGGTCCTGGCTTCATATGTTCTATCTTGGTAGGTTGCTTCGGACGCCTGTCAATAATGTCCAACCAAAACATATTTCAAGGATGCTCGAGGATCCTGCCTCAGAACTTGACATCTTTGACATGTCCGTTTGACTCCCTTCAAGATCGCATGTTTGTTGGGGCACAAGAAAGGCCATCGGTGCTCCTGGGTTCAAAGACCAGAAAGGCCATGCCACGCAGCCACCGCAGGTTGCCTGAGCTCGAGAACTGACGATGTTCGTTACTCCCCGTTCTTCGGCGTGTCAAACCATCCCACCTGGCATCTTCGGAACGCCCAATGACGCCAATGACATCCTCGACCTCAAATCAGGTCGTTCTTGGGACGCAGAAGTGACCAGAAAAACTGTTAGAAAAATATAGAGAAGAAGACAAAACAAGTAAAGAAGAGATGAGCAAAATGAAGGTAAGCCATGAAAGTAGGCCCCTTGCTTTTGGCATATCTTGCTCTTTAAATCTGTCCAACGTGGACGATTTGTCGCCCGTCCAACCCACCAAGCTCACGACCCAACGCTGTGGTGCCTGACATGCAGTCAGTCACTGTGAGACAACTCAATGACTGGTGTTATATATATATATGACTG